GGATAGTGGGAGGTGTTGGGGCTGGAACTGGATGAGCTTTAAGGTCCCTCCCAACCCAAACCATTCCATGATTCTGTGGGTGCAAAAAAAGATGGTACAAGTGGGTTTAGAAGATGACCAAGAACCAAAGCTCTTGGGAGCCACCAAACCCATCCCCGAGGGTCACCACAAATCACGTGAGCCCTTCCAAGCTCAAAGGCACAAAACTCCTTAAGGAATTTATTTATTTCCAGTGATGATGCCCCTAAAAAACCATTCCCACAGCAGGCAGTGCTGATACCAGCAGCATTCCTGCTTCAGGGAACTCTTCAGCCACTATGTCCATGTGCTGGCTTGACCTCCCTTCGTTCCTGCCTGTCTGGACACTCCTGCCTGCTCTCCAACCTACAGCCATCGCCAGCTGAGCCCCTCGAGAGAAACACAACCACATTTTCAGCAGTTCAATTTCATATCTCATCTCTAATCTTAACTTTGAAAAATGCTGTGAGAAGAGCACAGGAAATGGCAATAACAAGTGCAGGTGCTGCGGGTGTGAAGGGCAACTGATACCAACCACAGGCTGCTGCTCCTCCACGTGTTTGCACAGAGCTCCCCACACACACAGAAGAAGATTTAAAGTAATAAAGCCATTTTAATTATCTTTTAATTTATTCTCCCTTCTCTGCATGGGAGAGAAGTGTTTCTCCCCTGCCAGCAAGGAGTTTCCTTCGAATCAGAATATTCCTAACACTGCATCCCTTGGTCCAGTTCAGAGTTTATTCCTGTTTGGTTTGCTCCTCTATTTATCTACAGCATTTTCACCTTCTTTGCTATTCACCCCCATGCTGCTACACCTCACATTCCAGTCTACCACTCACATCATCACTTGTGGAAGGAGTTATTAATTAAAACATGGTTAAATTAGGCAGTAAAAGAATGTGGCTTGCTCACATGTATTTTGCTGTGGAAAGATTGAAAGTAAACGATTACACTTGGAGTATAACTGTGTTTTCCTAAATAAAGAATTGAGTTGGATTTAGGCAAGAAGAACTCTGAACAGCTGCAGCAGAACTGTCACCTTTTTAATATTTCACTGTAAAGTAACCCTGGGACTGGGGAGCCTCTCAGGCTGTCACTGGATGTCCCCCTGGCAGGATCCCGAGTCCAGGGCTGCACAGGGAAAATAATGACAGAGGAAACACTCAGCTCTTCTCTGGCATTTAACAGTTCTGCTCACACTGGCTGTCTCTATTTCCACGGATTTGGCAGGAAAGAATCTTTTAAGGAGATCCTTGTTTGTAAGGGTCATGGAGTAAAGCAATTCCTCCCCAGCTCTCCTTACAGTGCACTTCATTCTCTGCAGTATTTTCTTACAATATGCACGAAACAGTGATGACAGGAGCATTCCCAGATCCTGGGATTCTCAAGTGATACACAGGAAAGAAAATTAGTGGCCACTGCCCTCTGCTCTTTCTTTTGGTTTGCTGCAGGACCACTGTGTACCTGAGAGGGGGAAGAATTTCAACTTGTAGATATTTCTTAATTACATTTTAATGATACCAATGCCTTTCAGTTCTGCTGGAGTGTAATTGCAGTTATTTTTTAGGTTGTGTCCAATAGCCCAGAGGGGTTTGTACCTTGTACCCTTTCTGAGCAGGGCCAAAAGTTTAAAAAACAACCCCAAGGAACTGTTTATGACCACTGTATTTGAAAATGCACAGTTAGTGCAGTTCATGTTCCTCTGAGCCACACAGTGTTCCTGCAGTGGAGTTCCTGGAGTCCTGTAATATTCCTGGAGTCCTGCAGTGCTTAACGCGGGCTCGAGCAGCATCAGAGAGAGATTAGCAAGGAATTAATAATGAAAGCAGTTCCTGAACTCAAATATGCCCAAAGAGACAGCTATTTTTAAAATGTCTAGACATGCAGCACCGGCTGATTCCTTAAGGCTGCTCTCAGCACAGGAGAAAAGTGAGGATTGGGTGGTTCACTTGGAACAAACACTCCAAATTCTCCTCTTGCAGGAACTGGAGCTGAGAGATCCATGAAGCAGGGGAGAGACAGCAGCGCCCTTGCTCTTAGCAGGATACTTTTACTTAATTAAATCATGGATCAGCTTGAATTTAAACCTAACCAGGGCTGTCATGTCCCTTGGAGAGCTCTAAGTCAGCGATCACTTCCTTCCCATCACCCAGAGCAAAGTGCTGAGCTGGCTTCTGAGAAGGCTCCTGGGCACGGCAGGGCAGAAGAGCCTCTGAGCAAGGAGGGTTTCATGCATGTCTGTGACATTTGGAAAGAGTTTTCTTATCCAGGTGGGGCCTCACCTTGCTGCCTTAGGCACCAGAACAGAGTTACAGGACTGGGGTTCAAGGCAGAGCTTAGCAGGTCCTGGGATGGACAATCCAAGTGCCACGAGGCACCAACAAGCTACAACACTGATATTTTCACAGAATCATGGAATTACAGAATG